TTAATTATTTGTATGAATTTATTTTATTTTATATATTTCATATATTTTTATTATTTTTTATTATTATTCTTTATTATCAATTTATTACTATGACAATTATATAATTAATAATAATTTAAAAAAAATTTTAATATTCTATTAAATTTCTTCTATTAAATTTTATAAAAAATTCTGTAAAATTATATGAAAAATTTTTTACATTTTAATTTTTAGAAAAATAATAGCATATATATTTATATTACATAATTAAATCTAGCGTTCGATTTCACTATTGAATTGTTTGTTTGATCCTATAATGAATACAAATATATATTTGCTAAGAGAAGTCAAATACTTTAGGTTTGCAAAATCTAATGTCACATTTTGAGTGGAAGTAAAAAAATCGATTGATAGATAATTATAAATAAATACAAACATATATATGTTTATGCTTAGAATAAAATTTAAAAAAAAATTTCATTATTCATATTCATTTAATTAATACTAAATTTAATTCAAAGAATTATTTCTAAATTCTTTTTATTATAATACGAATTAATTTATCTTGTTAATACTTTTTAAATTAATTTTTATTTCTGAATATTTTTTTTATTTGTTATTAGTCTTTCTTTTTTGATTATGTTTGTTACAACAAAGCTTAAAAAAATTGTTTTTTAAAAATTCTACATCATCAAAATATGTATTATATTATCAAAATATGTATAAATAACAAAATAAATGTCTCTTAAATAAATATAAAAATAACAAAATAAATATCTTTTTTTATTATGTATTTTCATATTATGTATCTTCATTATGTTAGTTATATTGTATATGATGATGCAAGAATTTTTATTTTCCAATTTCTCTTTTCTCAAGAAATAGAAAATAGAAAAAGTAGAAATATTCAAAATACAAGTAACAAATTACTTAATTAATTAACAATGAAAAATTCATATAGAGATAAAGATAAAAATATATAAATAAATCTTTCCGCGGTAATAACAGTATGAATGTATAAAATAAATTAAATTCATCACTTGTAATTGATATATTAAAATTGTAATATTATCTCTACTATCAATAGAGAAATTAAATTATCGATAGTACCATCGATATTTCTCCATCACTAGCACTAGCAACGTCAGAGAATAATTCGAGTTTCAAACAGTTATAATTTCATAACCGTTGTATTTTGTATGTTAATATATTTTAATTTAAAGATTCTTAATGTTTTATAAATAAGAGATTATTAATATTGCCATGATTTTACATTACATTTTATTATTAAAAAAATTATAAATCAACTAAATAAAAATAATTGTGAATAAAAATGCAAAAAGATCATTCAGAGAAACCAAAATTAAGGTAAATTAAATAATTAAGATAGAAATAAAATATTCAGTATAATAAATATTTTCATATAATACAATTGTTATATTTTTTTTTTAGGATACGTAATACTACACCAGAACCAATAAGAAGGAACATAGTAGAAAATACCATAACAAATGTTCGTGCAGCTAGCTCTCATCATAGATCAACAATGATGCCATGTGATTTTGCTATACCACAGAGTAAAAATTTTATTTTAATTTGTTATTAAACTAAATTTGTGAGAATTAAAAATATTAATTATATGATTTAGATTTTGCAAAAAAAAAACTTGCTTTGGATCGTATGTCAATATTTTCTACACAATCATTACTTGATGTAACTAAAATGACAGTTCCAGAATGTGATGATACAGAAATGAAACTTCTTTACGATCAATATTTGCAAAATATGATGTTAGAAGTAATTTTAAAAAAAAAAGCAAAAGAAAAGGCAGAATTATTTTTATGTCAGTTAGCTACAATAACTAAGGAATATGAACATAATGAAGACAAATTATTTAAATTGAAAACTAGAGAAAGAGATATAATAAATTTAATAAAAATACAAAATGATATTGATTCACAAATTATAGATGTGAATAATTATACTAGTAAATATTATAAAAATAATTATAAAAATTATTTTTTAAACTTTCATAACTAAATACATATTATAAGAAATAATTAAATTTATTTTAATTATAGAAGAAGAAGATCTTCAAACATTAAAAGATATTATATCTAAGTTATATAATCTTTTGCAACCTTTGGATTTACTTCGCTGTAGTGATATTATTCTTCCTGAAACACCTGAAGAATGGAAAGAAACAAGCAAAACTTTAAAGTTATGTTCAGAAAATTTAAAATCTATTATAGATTTGATTGGAACAAAAAATGAAACATATCAAGATATTAATATACATATTAAAGAGTTTGTAAATATTATTAATAACATTGAAAATCATCAAGAAAGGTAATGAAATAAAACAAAATTAAAATTATTAATATTAAAATTATTATAATAATAATGATATTATTATTATTATTGCAGAGTGGAGAAGATGCTTTGTAGTTTACAAGCTCTTGTATTAAAAACTGCATCTTTATGCCTAATGCAATGTCATGATTAATTGACATTAATATAATATTATATAATATTCAATAATTATTCTTGATATAATATTAAATCATATGTAACAATATACAAAGTGTTAATACATTTATGAAATATATTTAAGATTATTATATTATTAATATGAAATATATATTAAGAATTGATTCTATATGTCAAAATAAACATTTATAAAATATTTATACAAAAATTGGTTAAAATCTATTTATTAAGTTATAAGTAATTTAAATTTACATTAAATAAAGAAAGAAAAAATATAAAAATGTAATAAGAATGATCTCATTATTTTTCTGTTCTGCTTTAATATTTTAATTGCTTAATAAATAAATCTTAACTGACATTTTTATACATTAATTTTCGTGTTTACTTTGATTTTTAGAATCAAAAATGTTCTACATTATATATTATATATATTAATTATAATATTAATATATTATATAGTATTCAAAACATTTTATATATTTAAAATTGAATTATTTTTTTTTTTTTTATAATC